AAGAATTAACCTTCTTTCACTTTTACTCAAATCAAACTCCATTCATGTAATCTTTTAAATTCGTAACGATCCATTTAGGGGCAGACTGTTCTTATGGGACCAAAAGATTTAAGGAAAGAATTGCGTGGCTGTTTGGATGAGGACCAAGTCTGCTGCATGGTGATATCGCTTTTAAATTATGGTTTAAAAGCTTTGCTTGGTGGAGAATATCTGCTAATATAGCTAGAAATTGTAGGAAGGCGTTTGAGCAGTGGACGCGAGAAATGGGTAAAGGACCATGTAATTTGCTTGTACTTAGAACACTTGATTTGCTAGCTAATAGGGATGAAAAGAATTTTAGAAATATTTTCAGGAGATCTATAGAGCATTCTATTAGTTGAAGGGTAGATTAAAGGGACGTCGTCACTTTTATTTCTTTGATTGGTTCTATGATCCACTAGTTTGTATGAAGTGTGTTACAGGGGAGGTAAATTATTGAAAATTTGGTTTTTCTTTTACGTTCTTTTCTTTGAACCTGCTTTCATTTCCTCCCATAAGTTTTGAAGAATCAAATGCCAAATTTTCTGATAAGATTTTACGGCCGGTTAAGTATGTAGAATCAGATATGTATTGCTTTTCGTTTGTGAGGTAGGGATTAATAACTTTTGATAACTTTAGTGTAGCCTTTTGCCCAATTCATGGATTATGGGTTTTCATTGCAATTCCTTTTTGTACGAAGTGGCTGCTTGACTTGAACAATAGTTAGAAGACTTAGAATGATAGAAGTCTTCGGCATTTCTCTTGGAAATTTACTAACACGACACAACTTATTTTATATATACTTCATATCAGATTAGCAATTACGTAGACAAGGTATCCAATTGAAACCACAAGCATTTCACAGGATGAAATTGGCTAGCTTTACTGCCATTTCCCAACTCCTCCTCCTCCTCTGCTGCATCATGTTCTTTTCCCCATACTTCAGTAACCTATTTGTCTCTGGTGGAACGCCTCCACCAACATGCTCAGGTCTTTACTCTCTCTCCTGGTCTCTTACACAATTACTTCTTTCAGTTAATTAATAGGTACTAACAGCCTGCAATCTCAGGTTCTGCACAAGGATACAAGGGCATGCTGATAGCTCCTCGATATGGACCCTGCTCGCCACTTGGTCAAGAGAAATCATATGCTGTTTCTGCCCAAATTCTTCTTCGAGACGAACTAAGGGTCCAATCCATCAATTCTTTAGCGCCCTCAAAGTATGTTGATGATACTCATGACAAAGAGACTCATCAACTCCGTATTCCTGGCGAAGGCCGCCTATTGGGTGGTGGGAACTACGTTGTCCAGCTTGGTTTTGGCACACCTAAACGCGATTTCAACTTGATTCTTGACACTGGCAGTAACGCAACCTGGATAAAATGCAAACCGTGTCCGCACTGTGGAAAACCAAAAACTATTTTTGACCCTAATTCTTCCTCAACTTTCCGCAAAACCCACTGCAATGAATCTAATTGCAGCTTTCGATCTAGCTACCTTGATAATAGAAGTTTTGAAGGATTTTGGGCATCCGATACCCTCACAATATCGTCCCCTTACCCGTTCCAAAATTTTAGTTTTGTTTGTGTTAACAAAACCGGAATTAAAGACGCTAGCGGGTTGCTAGCATTTGGACAAGGTGATAATTCTCTTGTATCTCAGACTGGGACAAATGTGTTTTGTCACTGTCTTCCTTCCGAACATGCAACAGGATATCTTCTGTTCGACTCTGAAGCACGTAAAAGATGCCGAGTTGAGAATTTCACACCGCTCAAACCACAAGAAGACAATGGCAGATATATGGTAAACTTCGTTGGAATAAGCATTGGAAACAAAACATTTAACGTTTTTGCTACAACATCATCTTCACAGGGCACTATGATAGACTCCGGGACTGTCATTACTCGCCTTCCGCCGCGAGTCTATGAACAATTCCGCTTCGTTTTCAGAAAACTCATGGAGGAATACAGCCTTGTTAAGCGACCTCCTAACGAGCGTACCTTGGAAACATATTATGAGCTCAACGGGGACAAATACAGTACCGTGGAAATCCCTACTGTGGTATTGCATTTTGAGAATTTAGATGTCAATTTGACCAGATCACAAGTTCTTTGGCAAGAAGGAAATTCTTCGGTTTATTGCTTGGCTTTTGCAGGAAACGACAATGTTGGCAACATGGTCATCATTGGTAACCACCAGCTGCAAAAGCTAAATGTTTTGTATGATATCCAGAGAAGTAAGGTGGGAATCGGGCCCGGTAACTGCGGCTGATGATGTCCGGAA